GTCAATCCCCAGGTAAAGCCAATGAGGATTCGATATTGGCTGGTGCGACCAGCCTTGCGATACAATTCATAAAACATCAGAACTTCTTGACAGCGGTTGTCATATTATCAGATATCAGTCATGTACCGGTCGGTAACCCTTCGTTTCACAAACACTCATTTTGAGTAAATGATCTACTCAACTCGGGATATCGAATTAAATCAACAAACGGTAGGTTGCCTGCGCTTCCCACCTCTTTCGCATTCGTTGGCGGCAATTTATAAGTGATAGCAACAGCAGCGGTTTGGTAAGGTAAGGTAAGGTAAGGTAAGGTAAGGTAGTGTTCCGTCCCAGGCATTCATATTCATGCAGCCACTGAATCGTCCCGGCGCCACGGGCCACCACTCATGTATCTTTAGAAACTACAATACAATTGGTAAGAATGATGGTTTCTTTCAGATACACATCAAAGGATGCAGCGGAAAGAGGCTTGACCAGTCAGTCTTTCGGGGAACATGCAGTAAGGGAGTGGTAAAGTTTGTTTCATGTAGAAGAAATCAGGTTGTCCATAGCCGATGGAGAGGAAAGGATTAACGAGATCTACAGGGCAATTCCTATGACCTGGAAGGAGCAATTAGAATCTTACTACCTAATACTAACCAACTACTACTACTACTACTATTACTACTACTATTACTACTACTATTACTACTACTATTACTACTACTATTACTACTACTATTACTACTACTATTACTACTACTATTACTACTACTATTACTACTACTATCACTACTACTATCACTACTACTATCACTACTACTATCACTACTACTATTACTATTACTACTTACATTGTAGAAATATACACGTTCAAAACGGAAGTAGGAGAACTCTTGTTGCCCCTTGGCTGACCTCATATACCTACCTAGTGCTTTGATTTGATATGCTTTACCACATCATGCTCTGCTACATCCACATCATTCAATCATGGTAATAAGAGTGCACCAACATATCATTGCTCCCCAAATTCTCTCCAAAGCCCCTTACCATCCTCTACTCCATACGAGATATATCTCTTCTACGGGTACAAAAAGTGGTCGGTTTATGCTTATCCGTTTATTCATTTAAGCATAGAGAGTGAGTGATACGGCGTCCCGGATCTTCTTCCAAAATAACCTGAAAAAGTGGATGCAACGATGGCTCCAATTTATTACTCACAGATCGCATGCTGATCTTCCCTGACTAGCAAAATGAATAACTACTCTGTATCTACGTAGCCAAGCTGGAGATTATCCAGATTCCAAGAATCTCTGAGTATATCGAAATCCAAGCTCTGCCGAGAGATTTCATAGGAAACTGTACATAGATTTATACGTACTTGTATCGTGAATTCACGACAATTTATGAACGATAGACAAATGTGCAGTGTACCTAGATACCTACCTACCTAGATAGACATACAAACATCCACCGTCCAACCCATTCACTTCTATCAAACAAAATCCCCTGCTCCATTTGTTTCAAGGGCCGGGAGCACATGCATGATTCCATCAACAGGGAAGATCACGAAATTCATCCCAAAATCGAAAATCGTCACTGTACGATTCCCGTTCCGATACTTCTCCACCGAAAATCGAAACGCGCAACAACTTCAGGGTCGAACCTTTGGAACAGCTTTTGTTCTCGATTTCTATGGATCCTTATGCTTTCCTTGTTTGTAGGATTCTAGATTTGGGGGTTGAGTGGTGTGGATTTTATTCATGATCGCTGGGGAAATAAAGGTTAAAGGTTTTGATATTGTTGATATTGCCTACCTAGGTACCTGCCCCTCCCTGCCTGGTCACTCGAATGCCACATCTTGAATTTGATTTTTGGCTCTTCAAATTACATCATCGATACAGTGAGCTGAAGCTTTCTATTTCTTCTACGGAGTATTTGGTCTATGGAGCTCCTCACAAAATATGATTGTTTCCAAGTACGCTACCACATAGATCAACAATGTGATGGCCTGGCGTCAAACCTCAACTTGCTTGCATATTCAAATCTCATAAGTCTGATATTTTGAAGGCTTCATGATTTGAACAGAAGGTCGAGTATTTTGCATCTTTCAACAATCACTTATAATGTGATGGACAGTCAATGGGGAAGATTATGGTTAACATAGACTGAAAAAGTAAGTGTGCTAAAAAGTTCAACGCTTTCAAGTGAGAGACTTCTACAATTCAATGCAATACTCTTCCTGAAGTTTTGTGGAGTAAAATTGTTACATGCAGACAAAATTTCAATCTCCTGTAAAGAAAAATCTCCATCTATGCTTAAGATAGAATGCCATGTTTCTTTCCATTCGCATTGTGTAACTCTGGTCTCTAGTAACCTTACCTACCACATCATAAATATCCCTTACTCCCTACAAACAAATAAATTAAATCAAACGCCATAAAAACCACAACCTCTGTTCTCTCCCTTTCCTCTCCACAAACTGCAAAATCATCGCAAGCCCCAGGGGTATGGCTGAGCTGGAGCCGAGAGATGTTTGATAAGATTGTTTCTGACAGCGCTCGACATCTTCATGTCTGCAGTATGCAGATTTATGAGGAATGAAATGGAGGTGGAATTTGTTATTTGGGGAGGGAGAAGGGGGTGTGATTGAAATTGTTGTTGTTGTTGCTGTATTTGTAGATGAATTGACTGTTGGGATTGGGGATTATTGTTGTTGTGTTTTTGGCTTGGATGTTGGTATTGCTATTTCGTATACACACACGCGCACACATATACATAAAGTTGCCATCGATGACACACAATAGATAATCATCAATCAGTAGCAACGAGAACCAACAATACTCTCCATTAAGATATGAATTTATTCCCTCTATCCAACGACATAGTAGAAACTTGCAGGTCTGTGGATAAAAATATGTGAATGGTTTGCCACAAGACGAAAGTATGAGATACGATTCGCAACGAGAATAATTTCTTAGTGAGTACATGAGTACATGCACTACTATTCATTATTTCCCCAATGGACTTGCCCGCAAAAGCTTTGCATGTTCGTATACGCATGTATATGTATACCCGCATCGAGCGTCAGATACTGACGGATACTCCCTGGCTCGATTGAGAGAATCTTCTTTCCATCAGGATGTTATAAAGTATAACACACTTAATTGCGAAAATGACATGATCCAAATTTCCACCGTACAATTCTGGCGAGGAGCGACTGATAGTTTGTACATAATTAGATAGTAATGAGATGTTAATTTTGAAAAGTATGATATATGGATAAAGATTAATAGTTTGATGGAAGGACATTAGAGGTACTGGCTAGTATTAAGTACCTAGGTATGTAGTGAAGATTGATCGTCAAGATAATCTCGCATGGATGATGATTGGGATTTGGAAGTAATCTTACATTGTGGTTGGCTGTTGAGTTGGGATTCATGAAGTACCCGCGACGCTTTTCTGTAGAGGAGCTTGGGTAGGTAGTTATGGGGATTATCTAAGCAGAGATATTTCAAAGTTCAAACCTGAAGCTGGACATCTATCCCCAAGAACGTATTCCGAATGGTTGTTTCTGGGATTGGGTTTAGTGGAAATAGTGGCATGACCATTTAATCTTGTGCAAGGTAGTTTTTAAGCAACTGGAGAAATATTGGGGAAGATAAGAGTCATCTAGTCTATCTATACGTAGGAGGAAAAAAAAGGTCAAAATTGATGATTTCAAGAGATTCTGTAATAAATCATGAATGAATGGAATTACCAAAATGGATAGTATTAGACAAACCCTCGAATAGCCTCCAGTTATAATATTGGTTAAAGCTTTGATTCTTTGAATTGAAATGGAAGAGTTGGATTATTGAAGGGTTTCCCAATGGTCAACTCCGGTCTGCTTTTTCGCCTGCTTAAGGAGAGAGCGAATGACTTGGAAATCAAATAGTATATGGAAATAACGTCGATCTACTCTACAAATAGTTTGATTCTCACCATCTTCTTCCCTTAGGCTATATTTTAGTACCGATTAATTTCACTCATTGAGATGTTTGGCTACTGTCACTTTTAAACATTGAGACGTGGGACTTTTGTCCTTCGAGTTATCCAGTTGATTTTTCTTAACGACCTCAAATTAGAGATAGAGGCATAACATCTCTAGCAACCATGACGGTTTTATCCAGGATACCAGATCATCAGAGTAATCCAAACAGGAGGAACGATGAGATTCACAATACCACAGTCCAATGGCCAGCCGAAGTACGTGTTTTGCGGGAGGCGCTGAGAGAGATGAATGAGCAATACGAGGAGATGAACCTGGGTGATCCCCCCGATACACCGATTAGTGAAATAAACGCTCGTAACCGAGCATGGAGTAGAAGTAGGGTCAGATATGTAGAGGGAATACAAGGCTCGCTGTTTAAACGGTATCAATCGGGCGAATTCAAAAAGTCAAAGCTACCAACTCGGAGAATAAAACACGACCAAAGAGGGCTCATAAAGCAGGCAGATCTTGTGCTACAACTCAATATAATGGAGGGTAAATGATCTGGTCACTTTTGACAACGATAGTCTCGCCTGAGATTATATTGAATGACGCAAAACGGTTGGGTCTTGAGATTGTGCCTTCTGAAGTTGGTAGGGCCTCCAAAAATATTGGGATTGAAGCAAGCTTCGCAAGTCGACTGCCACTTGACAATACTATCGTCTGATATTATTTGGAATGCTGAGAACTGAATATGATACCCTGTTCTTATCCTACTGAAAGGGAGGGTCTGGGGAGAGTGACTGCTGAGGAAGGTGATATCTTGGGGTTAAGTCTTTTATTATTTCATACAACGCATAGGTCGGCTTGGTGGCCGATGCGACCCAGATCAGTAGAACATTAACGTATACATAATACGATGCATATTCAACTTGTGTCTTCGAGCACCATAACATCTTCAAGTCCCCTCACAAAAACCAATGTTTGTTGCCCATGCTTCATTTGTTCTTCTTACAAGCCCTCCAAATTTGCCCCTCCCAACCTTAACCTAGAAGAAAGCAACCAACGCCAAAGCACTACCAACGCTCAAACCAACAACTGTCCATCCTGTCTTAACAACTGTAGCGTTCTTGAAAGTCTTTCCCATATCCCAAGCCAAATGTCTTATTCCGTTGAAGGAATGATATGTGAATGGCATGGCTAATGTGAACTTAGCCAGGAACTTTGCCGCCAGGGGCCAAGCTCCAAACGCAGCCACCATGCTGGCAGTATCCAGGTGCCATCCAAATAAAGGCGAAGCAAGATATGCAGCGCCGAAAACGTAGAAACCTCCCGAGAGAATACAACCAGTAATACGATTGAGGGCAGACATAATCCAAGGGACTTGAGGTTGGTAGATTGTGAGATGAGGTGCGACAGGTCGGAGTTTGCGTTGCTCGACGAGGATGTTGTAGCTATCTTTTGGGGTTAACTTTTGGGTGGCTACTGGTCTTGCAAGATGTTAGTTGTTGTCAAGCTTGCGGTATTCGTTGTGGGAGGCAAACCTGGTTTGCATTGATGCGCCAATGGCTGCAGGTGCCGCGAGCTTCCTCATTGCCAATTGTGAGATAAGTGATGGCTGACCAGCAGCGACTATTAAAGATCGTTAGCAGGTGAGCAAAATATAGAGTCTGGGGTATGAGGTGGGTAGTGGTTTGTAGATTGGTCAGAGAAAACTTACGCCGGCGCAGCGATTGTTGAGTTGCTCTTTGCGAAAACATTTTGATTAAATTGATTATGTGCTTCAAGTTGTCACAGAACAATTGAAAATGATGAATTACACAAAGGATAAAACGACACCAGGATCTTGATATTATCGTCGTTGATGCGGAAGGTATCGGTTTCCGGCGCCTCGGTTATGTCCCTACGAAAATTGAACGAATCAAGGCTCAAGAATTTCAAAGACGCAACTGACTAAGAAATACCAGCACGTGATTCAAAAACTCGGGTCCTATATCAACGAAATTTTCGCGTCACTAATTTTTCTTTCCTCTTCATGAGCATCAATCCACAACGCTGCTTGATCTTCAAAGTGGTAGCGCTAGGGATATGGCACATTGATGGCGTTATGCTATTGATATCGTCATACTATATGTTCTGAGAAGGAAGGATCTGTCGTTAATCTCGACCTCGAGGAAATCAATCTCGTTGTTGTTTCATTTTATGATCTATATATGACAGCTTTCAAGCTGGTTATTGAAAACGTTTGCGCACGAAGCAACCTTTTCTATGGAAGCGTGTCTCCGACACTACTGCTGTTCGATGATACAAGTCGGAAGACGTATTGATTGCCTATTGCTATTGCCAATTCTTGCACTTGTATTTCTACATTTCAAAGCATGAAACAACATCGTGAACTGTCTCAAATTCAAAAACATTATATGCACATTTGTTGATAGCATAAATCTCTTTATGCAACGTATTATTATACGGCGGGGCTCCTCAAACCTTGCCTCAATTTGGAAAAACTATTGTCCATATGCCAAGGTATATGCGGGGTCATTCAAGTTAACCCGTTGACCTTTGAATGGCTGCATCTCCTGCGCTTCAATATAATATGAACTATGATTCAATTAAAGCTTCGGGGGGTTTCCCTCCGCCATCCCGAATGCACTTAACTCCCTGCCCTGAAAAAAAGGTTAAACGTCCATCGTGTATCGATCGGCTCGTATCTAGACATGGAATACATGCAAGTCGTACCGGAAACAAACTGTACAGCTTGTTGTCCCCTGGCAGTCTGTATTTAATCGGACGAAATGAGATCATCATAAGCTCTGAGACATGCAGGTTGAAGAAACTATAAAGTTCAATCTCGCAGGTTGTGAAAGGATGTGAATTTCTACACCAGGTGAATGCACTTTCTCTGCAATGATGCTTTCATCTAAGATCAATTGCCTATTTGGCATTCAAATTTTCGCTCATTTGGCCCATTGTACAAGCTCTCCGATTGCTACTGCTACCAATACCTGGTCAACTAAGGTCTACAATGTCTCCGCAGCGACGACAACATTAACCTATGAGTACACTAATGAGGAATTGGCTATGCTATGGAACCAAGTCGGATCCATCGCTGTAGGGCCAATCACGACGACAGTAGAGCCAACACCAGAGCCTTCATCGTATCCTCGTCCAGGAATCTTTCACCCTCTAGTATGTCAGTTAGTCACCATTGAAGATCACATATCTGATATTTGCAGGTGCCAACCTATGATACATCCCTGAATAATCAAAGTCTACCTGACGATTTCATTTGGGGTTTAGCAGCCAGTTCATATCAAATTGAAGGAGCCGCGAAGGATGAAGGTAAAGGTCCCTCGATTTGGGATTTGATTGCACATCGAGACTATGGAGCCGTCGCAGACAACTCCACCGGTGATATCGTGGCTAGTCACTATTGGCTTTACAAACAAGACTTTGCTCGTCTTGCTAGTTTGGGAGTTCCATACTTCTCTCCGTCATTCTCTTGGTAGGTGTAGTCTCGAATTCACAATGAGTTTGGGTGCTAATGCGAGAGATTGCCAGGCCGAGATTCTTCCCATTCGGAAACGGGCCCGTAAACCAACAGGGTGTTGAGCACTATGATGATGTTATTGCTAGCATGGTCGCCAATGGAATCAAGCCTGCTGTCACACTGTTTCATTGGGGTAATTTACGATACCCAAAAGTCATGTTTTAACATGCTAATCATTGTTCAGATACACCCCTCGCCCTATTCAATTCATATGGAGCCTGGACAGACGAGCGAATTGTAGACGACTTCTTCAATTATGCCAAGTTTGTCATCACCAGATATGACAAATATGTGCCAATTTGGTATACATTCAATGAACGTATGTTGCTCTCTCGAAAGTTACATCTCTCTTACTAACCTTCATCCTCAGCTCAATACTGCAACTGGCAATACGCCTCCTACCCTGCCGGAAACACCAAAGGCAACTACCCCGCTTACCACAACATCACTGGTGGTCTCCCCGCTCGCATCGCCTGTTCACACTACAGCATCCTCGCTCACGCAAAGGTGGCCAAATGGTACCACGAAGAGTTCCACGGTGCCGGCCGCATAACCTTCAAAAACTCCGGTAACTTCTACGCACCCAACAGCACCTCCTCAGGAGACGTCGACTCTGTAGCCCGTAACTTTGAATTCGCATTGGGTTGGTTCAACGGCTGTTGGCGCGACGGTGATTATTCTTCCATGTTAAAAGAAACTTTGGGAGATCTACTTCCGGAATTCACCCAGGAGGAAAAGGACATGATCAAAGGAAGTTGTGATTTCTTCGCTATAGATGGCTATACCGCATTCCTTGCTACTACCATCCCTGGAGGTTCTGCAGCCTGCGCATCGAATTCTTCCCACCCCTCTTTTCCTGAATGCGCAGGTTCAACTTCGCTTGCCGCAGATGGGTTCCCATTAGGACCTGCCGCCGATGAAGGGGTCAACTGGTTGGTTAGTACACCAGCTGCTATCCGTAAGTTCTTGAATGTTATTACAAAAGAGTTGTTTCCAGCAGTAGGGGATATCGTTGTTAGTGAGTTCGGATTTGCGGAGCCGTTTGAGGGACAGATGGGTACTTTGGGTGAGATCTTGTGGGATTTGAGACGAGCAGATTATTATAGAGGGTTCTTGGACAATATTCTTGCAGCAAAGGTTGTTGATGGTAAGTTTCCCATTGCCAATGCCTGATGTGGCTTGTACTAATGTATTTCAGGCGTCAATGTCACTGGTGCATTTGGCTGGGCTATCTTCGATAACTTTGAGTGGTTTTCGGGAAGTAAGGTGAAATTTGGAATGCAGTGGTTGAACCAGACTTCTATGGAACGTATTCCAAAGGCAAGCATGTTCCAGTTTTTGGACTGGTTTGATGCCCATGGAGGAGCTAAGTTGGGGGCGGGTAGCTCCGGAAACCTGACAAAGAAACACTTTAACTAGAGCTCCAAGAGACGTATTAAAGATAGAATTGAGAATAGAGAGTGCTTAGTAGCCTTTGATGTATCCAGATATCTACATTACTCATCGATACAAGAATTATCATAGTACGATGCTAACAACTATCTAATTCTCTAATTTTTCCGCGAATCCTTTTTCTTCAAGCTCTTTCGAGCTCTCATCCGGCACCAGCGCAACTTCTGAGCCGGTGGCTTTTGAGTCGGATCCCAGGTTGTTCCAGGCAGCTTTGTTCTTCTTCCGCTCCCCTGCCCCCTCACTTTTATACTGATATCCTCTCATTCTTGGTCCTTGTCCACTCTTCTCTGGTAGCTCACTATCGTATTTCCTGGCAAACTCTTCGCAGCCTTTCTCAAATGTGCCTTCTTTAATACTCTTTCGTATTGATGTAAAGAATTCCGAAAGAACATAATGGTTGTGAACTTGGAGTAAGACCCATCCAAGCATTTCTTTGGCTGAAAGTAAATGCTGGATGAATGCTCGGTGGTGGGAAGTGCATGCATAGCATTTGCAAGATTCAGAAAGGGGAAGTAAGGAAGTAGCATGAGCTGCAGTCCACATATCAATACCCAGAGGAAGGACTGAACTGCTCTCGTTTGGAGATTGAGAGTTGGCGGAAGATGGGAATTCAAACGTTAATGCGATCCCTGCATCTGTGGCAAAGTTGATGAAAGGTATGGTGAAAATGTCCATTCCGAGTGAGATTTGACGAAGTACATGATGAGGAGATGATGGCTCATCCAAGGAGAGTCGAGGGAGTAAAGACATGGCTGTAGTCTCTGGAATTTCTGGGAGTAAGTTTGAATCATAGAAAGCTAAACCAGACACCTCATCGACCAGTTCGTCAGAAATATAATTTATGTACTCCCACTGGCTTTGATAATCGATGGGTAATACTGGTGCAAAAACGGGTTGTTCCTTGACTTTGTCAGCCAAGAGCTGGGCCAGCCACTGCCCACTTCTATCGCCCATTTTGGCGGTACGTTTGGCTCCTGCTATAGTGCTATAGGGAACATCCGCGAGCCCAATGGCGATATCCGGGCGTAAAGTTGCGATTGAATCGATGTAGGATTTGTTAGAAAGAGGTTGAAATCCTGTGGATGTAAATACAGAAATGGCTGTGTTACTGTTGCCGTTGGGGGCTGTAACAGCGGGTGTCCGTCTTGGTGCCAAAAGAGATATGGTAGATCTGGACAAGGCTGTAAAAGCATGAAGAGGTGGTTCTGCTCCAGGGCAATTCAAGATGGGAGATATGGTTGTTTTATTGCTCTTTTCTATGACTAGAAAAGATCAGAACGAATACAAACACGTGATATAATGATGTGAAACCTACAATCTTCCAATGCGAAATGGACACCCGGTACTTTTGCATGTGCTGCAATTACATCTGGCGTCATATGAGGTATGACGCCTCTAGATGTAATGGCGAGGAAATCCGGGGTTTCCAAATCTTTCCGTCCTTCCAGAGTGATTCTTCCGAGCCTTGGTCCAGAGGCATTGTGATCCAAAGTATTCAAAATCTGAAATCCGAGCCTCGTAGGGTTCTTGGGAGCCATATTGATAGTGGACATTTCGTTAAGTGAAATAAGACGTATGAGCAAATAGGTCGATTAAATATCGCCAAGATACTGAGTTTTCTGCAGGCCAGTAACCCTCAGATTATATACAGAGCGTCCGTAAATTTGAGACAAGCACTTGCAGATTTCATAAACATCTCAAAATGTATAATTTTGGACAAAGAATTGTATATTGGCGTCGAGAACAGCTGTATCATAGAATCTGACCAGAATATAATTTTTACCACACTGGCGGCTTGATTAGTACTAGCACAGAATAGATAGACTAGTCTATAAGTGGTTAGCTCTGTTTTCACAGCAGCTTATCCTTATCGGACAAGTGTCCGTGCGATAAATGTTGCATTTCTCAAGTCTGACGAGAAGGGAGGAGTACTTCAAAAGTATACCTCTATCACCGCAGTACTCATGGTACATTAACTCTCTTTTACGTTGTTTTTCCTGCTGTTGAATAAATTGAGATTGCCACAAGAATTCAGTTGTTATTTGGACCGAGGACTGACATGCCCAATTTCCTATAATAAGCAAGGAAAAGCAATCGAGCAGGCAAAACGTTCGGATCAAATCACCTTCATTTCTCGGGTTTCAATAATACAATATGGGGGACCGAAATGGTCGCGTCGATAACAGGCACCATTTTACGGACAATGACCACCCCGATGATCCAATTGAAGACCCTACACTCACTCAGCTTCTACCCATGAACGAAATATCAGATGATGATTCTCCTCCTACCCCTCGGTTTTTACAAGATCAGTCTTCCTATCGGTACCTTAAATGGATTCCTACTCCGGTCAGACGTGTCACTAAGCAAGCTATTACTTGGGCGAATGGGCCAGACCCTCCGCGCATAAACGTCATCAAGCCTTGGTTTCCATGGCTGCAGGAAGCACCATTACGGCTTTTAGATCGATATATACCAAAGAGAAGACATAGGATCTCGCTTCTCGTAGCATATTACTTCTGTTGGATTCTGACTTTTGCTCTTGTCCTACGCCAGAGCACACTTGCTACCGCGATAGAGGAATGGGGAGTCCCTAGCGATATTGGATGTGGCAATACATATTGGGTAGCTGGGAACCAGTGTGGGTTGAATGGAAACGATTGCCGTCCCTTTAACGGAAGTGGTTTTGCATTCAAATGTCCCGCAAACTGTGCCAGCGCAAAGGTTCTTAATCCGCGAGCTGTTGGAGCGCAAGAAATCAACTACAGGCCATTAGTGATTGGTGGACCTGCAGACGATGATACTACTGCAATCTATCGCAGTGACAGCTTTATCTGCGGATCCGCAATCCATGCTGGAGTTGTCGATAATGTCAAAGGAGGTTGCGGCGTTGTGTTGCTGGTTGGAGAACGCAATAGCTATCAAAGCTCAAATAGGCATGGGATCAAAAGCATTGGTTTCGATTCGACCTTCCCATCCTCATTTACATTCCAGAAAGGAATCACTTGCAAGGCCAAAGATTCGCGCTGGTCACTGCTGTTTGTTTCTCTGACGTTCACAGTAGTGCTATCGCTTTTTACTACATCGCCTAGTCTCTTTTTCTTTTCCATTTTCACTGGGCTTTTTGCTCATACTGGTCTCGGCTCTGATCCACCTAATTTTAATACTATGGCCGGACTGGTCTCAAACATATTAGGGAAGTTCCTACCTGCAGCTTTTTGCGCTTTTGTCATATATAAATACATGGGCGTCGAACGTGCCTTGACTGGGCTCATAGCTCAAATCGAGAAGACGATATTATGGCTCGGGGGCTGCTGGGTTGGAACACTCTCAAATTATACTTTTGAGTGGATCCCTATTCAACGGCTGAATGCTCACGATATAAATCAACAGCCAGATGCCAAACTTGCTCTGGCACTTATCATCATATTCCTTATCATTATAATCGTGAAACAAGCATTCTTCTTTCGCATGGAGGGTCGTTTAATTCGTTTTCTCGGCTTGTATGGGATATTTGTTACCGCTTTACTCATATCTCTCCTACTACCTGGTCTCAGTCTTCGAATACATCACTATATTCTTGCTCTTTTACTGCTACCGGGAACTTCTATGCAGACTAGACCTGCACTTCTCTACCAAGGATTGTTGGTCGGCTTGTTCATCAACGGTATTGCACGGTGGGGATTTGATCCTGTGCTTCAGACTCCTGCAGCACTTCAAGGAGATGCGAAACATAATTCCGCGCTACCACATATTTCATCTCCAGAGATTTCAATGAGTAGTAATGTTTCTTCTATATCTTTCACCTGGCTTCCACCACCTGCCCCATTTGATGGCATCAGTGTGCTAGTCAACGATGTAGAACGTTTCAGAGGATACACCGATGAAGGATTCGCAAGTGATAAGCATTTCGTTTGGTATAAAAACTCACCTTTACAACAACCCGAATATTTTAGATTTGGATATATGCAAGGGTCTAGAAGCTGGGATTACACAAAGGCGGGCACTTGGAATGTCAATGGGACCTGGACAGAAATGAAAAAGGGGCCAAGTAAGGTCAAAAGTAGATCACTGGATGGAGAAGTCTTCACTATATAGATTGGATGTTTAATTTTTGTTCATAGATTCCCACATAATTTCGATATCTTTCACAAATTGAAACTGCCTAATTCCCAGGGCTGCTGAAATGTCTCTACTGCCTGTGATGTCTTACGCCACAACTTCAAATTTTGTGACATCCTCCGGTTAATCTATTCTATCTTGGAGCTCCTTAATTTCGGTCTGTGTTCCATCTCAAATAACAATGAAACTCCAGATGATGCGAGTTCTCACACCATGATACCTCGCTTGCAAACTTGTTTGCACTCTACTATTCCTGCCCTTAGTCATTATCCCTACTATGCTTATCATTGCTCATCAAGCTCCAGGGCGCGGAGATCAGCGAGGGCCTTGCAGAATTTTTGTTACATTCTTACTTTTTCTCAGGCAAATTTTCTTCGAAATGCAAAGCACAAATTTCCAAGTCTCAAGTAGCCAAACATGATTTATTGTGGATTCATCCTGTTCAGTATTGTGTGCCCACACCACCAAGAGTTTCTGGCACATGTGCAACCTTCTTCTGGACCATGCACCTTACTATTATTGCTCAATCCAAGTTCCATTGCACAACGTAGCACTATTTCTGCTCTAAATCGATGCCCCGAACACTTTCTGATTGACCCTCTAGACGCCTTTTTCTTACTGGACCAATAAGTTCCTTGATCGAGTTCTGCAGTACCAATACCTGACTTTCGAGCTCCGTGACCCTTGCGTTTATATTTCCTTCCATTAGAGTATCAGAGCTGCTCTCAGTATTTGACTCCCGCCCGATATCGTTGAGCTCATTTGTAGTAGTTGCCTTTGATTTCTGCTCCTTTGTACTCTTAGCTTCAGGCTCGTACATCAAAACTGGGAAAATCCTATCTTGGAGTATGCCATCGGCTAGATATTTCTGATCCATACGCTGAGCCATGTTCTTCTCGATTTCTTTACAGGCGCATTTTTCGACTCTTTCTGAAGGTATTAGATGTATGCGATTTTCCATAGGTCTGTATTCTACTATGTACTCTGTCCATGCAGCTGCACAATAAAATTGTTTGTTTTGAACGTTGAGAAGGTGATGAAGTGCTGCCGGTTTCCAGTCGAAGAGTATAGTTGCTAGGACATCAACCAAAGACAAATCTTCCGGGAATTCAATCTGGTTTGATTTGCGCTTCTTGTATTTTGGAGGTTGAGGATTATTTCGAGGTCTTTTCACATTGAGGAGATGGAGATGGCCTTCCGGAGCATTTGCCGGGAGGTCGATGCTGATATCGAGGTTCAGGTCAACCTTTTGACAAGATTTGTCTTCCATATTTAATCGAGGCTTTGCTTGAGCTAGATTGATGGAGTCAAGTATGGGGCACGTTGTCTTAAATATCAATGATAAATAAAAGAAGGGATCAACCTAGTGCTGTTATATAACAGTGTATCACTAAACAACTCTTTGGTAGAACATCCCTTCGCACTTGAATCTCTTGAGTTTTGTTTTGGCAGAAGAAATCGATTGTACCTAGCTTTTTCCAAGGGGTAGCTTGTGACAGGCTCTTGAGCTGCATATCAAAGCTAGGCCAGAGCACACCAGGATTTTTTTATGTTTGTTTTGGCTACGCTAGAGTAGTATTCGGTAGCAATAGTATGGATATGCTTGGCGATTCATCAATTTACTGTCCCTTCTATTCATCAATTCTTTCGGTTTCTTTTTCTTTGTGGAATAGACTGCTTGGAAATTGGCTCTCTTCAAATGGATACTCTCTTTGACGGAAACTCCGAGGACATTCAAGAGAAACTCCATGGACATGGTAACAAAAACAATCTCACCAATCTCACGCTGGACAGATTGAATGATTTTACCAAAATTGAGTTGAACTACCTGAGAATTATCTCGACTCAGAATCGAAAATTGGATGACCCTTTAGACTTGTAGGCTTATAAAAATTAGTATCTAAGTATTTCATAGCACTCTTCCATGTTCCATCATTTGACAATCAAATTTTAAAATTCACAAAAGGAATTAAGGCTTGATCGGAAGTTTTCCTTCCATGTTTCGTTCATCATTTGCATACAATCTGACAATCTTCTTCCTTAACCAACTGATATGACAGCCCAAGTTATGTGAACCCACAATATTTCTCATCTCCTCGATACGGAAGCCACAGTCAAACCCCATTTCCATGCCAAATCAGCCATCATATCCTCTCAATCATCGCGCTTTCTCTTCAAAGAGCTTGTCAACTTCTCGGCTGACTTCTGAAGTCTGTCCAACGGACCTTGGACCTCAGACATCCTGTTTGCAAATCTGCTACTGCCTCCAGAACCAGTTATAGTTTCTTGAACCTGTTGAGAAACTTCGGTGATACGATCCGCATTCGAGATGTTTTGTGTCCTGCGCCCGGAATATTTTGGGCCACCGGCTCCATTTTGAAGCACACATGCCCAGTGAAAGCCCATTGGCACATTATTCTTGTCCTCGAAATCTGTCCCGCGTATAATAATTCTTGCTAATTTATGATCGTGTGCTTCGCGACGATCTAGAGAGCTGGTACTTGGGTAGTATTTCTCATCTTGACTCTGATCTTCAGAGTATACAATCTCCCAATTTCCCTTCTCGCAGATAGCATAAGTTACATTCAAATCAGAGCGATGACTCGCGAAACTAACGATCTATGATTGGGTTATCAGAGGCATTTCCACTGCACTAAACATGCGTGTTCCACACATGTTTTTCAGGAAGCTACTCACCCCGACTTGAACAATGTTTTCCACGCGAAGAAGATATATGTGGTCTGGCGACAAGTCATCCGATTTATGGCTCTCGGTATCCACGGTTTCACTCTGGAATTCCTTATCACTTTCAGATTCCTTGATATGCCCGTTTGTTGTCCACCAGCAATAAAACTGACTCGCTTGAACATCGAGCAAATGACTAAGAGCAGACGGATCAATTTCGTAGAGAATAGTAGCAATTACGTCAACTGTAAATAAATCGTGTGGAACTTTGTCCTTTTCAACCACAGCAATCCATCTGATTATGTGTGAGTGACCCGAAGGAGCATCTGTAAGAAGGTTAACTTTGCATTCGTATCCAACATTAACTCGCTGGGCAGTCCCTTCTTTGAGGTTTGGGTCGTTCATTTCTAGAGGTAGGTAGTGAGATGGAAGAAGGAGTATGAGTTCATTAAAACTTTTAGGAGATGACAGGATTATGGAAATTTAGCACTCTTAAATCTTGATGGATGAGGAAACGAGCATCTACCGAGCTCAGGCTACGGGTACCAGTCTTCGGCACGGAAAGGTGCCGAAGTAGTTTTTTATTCAAGACTGCAGCCACAAGGATAAAACACAAGGATCATATTTGCTCGCCACAACAGAATACACCAACTAAAGCTTTTTATTGTAAGGTTGCAATGGATACCCAATATTCGAAAGCAAACATTTCTCGCTTTCACTTTGCTCCAACTACGCAGTATTGTCTTCTTACCACAGACTTATTGTGTTCTCTATAATTACAAAAACCATCCCCCAACTCCCCCAAATAGTGATCGAAGAAACATGCGTACCATCGAGCGGAAGAAGGACAAGTTTATTTCATCTAACAACCCTCTCTTTCTCTCTTTGCTTGGATCCAAGGTGTCTGTGATTCCACGCTCCAAATACTTTAGCCACGCATCTATCTGGAGACGAGGTTTTTCGAAACGCTTGTCCCTCTCTCTTACGAATCCTGCATTATATCCCAGCCATTCATTTTCGATCAAATGATTGACAAGCGTCTCTGTTTCAAAGCCCCCAGGGATGACGAGAATCCACTGTCCATCGTCAAGTATTTCGTAGCCGTAGTGCCATCGTTTCTTGGAAGTCATGTCATTGAAGACTACCTGCAATCGCAATTAACAGAATTCCTTTGATCAAATCGATGAATCCCACCTGGACTTTCCGATCCTTACGAGCAACAAAGCCACAATGTGTCTCGTCGAAAGCGTCTAAACTGACATATAACTCTTCCACGCTAAAATCGAGGAGGTCGACCAAAGCCCATGGGCATTGGTAGGCAAGAATGGTGCGAATGACATCCACAAGAGTGGCGGCAACAGAATCAGTTTTTTCCCCCGCGGGGTTTGCGGTTTTGTGGATAATGTGAGGACTATAGTTGGGGGCATCAGCCGAAAAATTGAGATGAAGATCGAGATTGTGATCAGCTCGAATGCATAACTGCTGACTAGACATGGTTGCGAATCGGATGGCGGTTGCGTTGCGAGAGATGTTGAGAGGAAAAATTAGAAAGATTGCGAAGCTGCCTCTGGAAATTCGTCTACATACAAATGTCCAAAAGGTGTAGTTATAATCTAAGCAATCCGTGTAACTGGCATGACCAAATTGAAAACCAATTGCTCAGGTAAAGGCAAGTTGAAGGGTCGGAAGCATGCATGGGCACCGCCATCACAGGCAGACAATATTTCGTCGGAAACTTGCGTTCAGCATTCTCAAAGCCTTCACACTAAGATCGACTCATTCGTGGGACCCTGCACTTCTTTTTTCCTTCGGAGCGCAGAGCGACTTCTGATACCCTGGCCGTTTGTATTTTGAAACCGATATCTAGTTCAGTTGAATGTAACTCAACAAATGAAGTTTCGAGTGCAGTGAACTTGACATCCAACCAATGAAATCCCTGCATATCTCGGCAAAGTGCATCGCTTTACCAAAGTTTTCAGTGACTGACATAATTCTACAAACGAAGCCTCTCCGCATTGAAGAGCGTTAGGCCTCCAGTTCATCTATTGCGGCATCAAATAGCATAATCGAGAGGGCGGATTGAAGGATACTCTATTGACTATATGATTGATTCGGTTTAAATTCATCTTAGCTGGTTTCAGTTCTCCAAAATTTCTATGTCTTCTATGTGATCATTCTCATACACATACTTCCACGGTAACTCAGGCAGTACTAACCTTTACCAAGTCCTGTTTGCGAGGCACTAAAGATGAGGAGAGCCCAAGGTCTCTATGAAATGCAAACAAGGTCAAAAGGTGTGTAACAAAGACTAAACCAACAACAAACGAGCATCTACCTTACTGTTGCCTAAAGACCTTCAAGACTCAAATATGCATATTCCCGAATGAATGAGCATTGCCGCGTCATCCGCTTCTCATTGGTCGAACACGTGGAATTGTGAAATAATAATCATACAGTTCACATATCATGATACCAAATCAGAACTTGCTCACTACACCCAACTTTTGATTGAATACTACTAGATGCTAACGAAGGTCCGTATAATGATTCTCTTTCATCCTATTCCATTCTGGGGACTACTTCCTAAGCAGATCATCTTGGATACATCTGCTAAAGCCTGTTCATCAACCTAATCATTCTGCTGCACGCTTTCTCTTCTCCGTTTCTTGCAGATGGAATCGATCCGGATTCTTGGTGCTCGTGGCGTTCGTCGTCCCGGTCTCGATTTCGGTATCGCTGCCTGACTGTACGGATACTTGCTGTGGCGTCAGTTTTTTATCCTCCACAGTTGGATTTCTGCAAACAGCCTCTAATTCGTCGATGCATATCCATTGCCCATCTTTCGTGGTGACGTAACACTCAAATTCGAATTCCTTGAGACTATCTTGGTGCCAGGGGAGGGAATTTCCCAATCTCCCAGCCAGTATTCGGTCGCTTTTCGCAATATGACACTCGTGCCAGTTTTTTTATAATGATCTTCCAGAGTGCAAATGTCCTCAATACCCAAGTGTTCAGATCCCAATAGCTGCCATCTATCATCGTCATGGATGTGATAGGTTAGAGCCCGTTTGTCGAGCGTGACCTAGATTAATTTTAGTGAAATCGCTGTGGTTCGAAGGACACATACTCGTAAAAATTTCCATGATCTTTTAACAAAAAATTCCATATTATAAGTAGATGTACTCCAGTAAAATTGAGATATGCTGAGATCCAACATTTTTAATAGTGCGGAAGGTTTCCAGGACCCAATAGCGGAGACTATGACGTCTGCAGTGTTGTCGCGGGCTTCACATTCACAGGGAGTCGGGAGTCCCCATCGCTGAATAACTTCGTTGCCCTCCAATCTCTGTTCAATTATGCCTGGCTTCAAGACGATAGGCTGGCGAAATCTGGCGGAGTTACTACAGGCCAGGCTCAACACGGATTCATCTGGGTCGTCCCTGTCATCTCTCAGAACCACTTTCCATTTTTTTGTGCACGGCATTTCGACTTTGTAAATGTAATTTACATCTAGCTCTCAGAGAATGAGGGGACTCTGCTTGATATATCTTGTGATGAGGCAAAAACAACTCAGTGGGCATGCAGCTGACCAATCAAAGTACGGGTTACCGGGCTGTCATTTTATGATATGGATGAGCCGACATGCAAAGTGAGCTGTGAAAAAGCAAGTTGGGCTATCGCAAGACTTCCCTCGATGGTTTTTTTTCGTGTCTTAAAAAATACTGGGGCTGCACATTACACCGGAAAAGAAGTAAAGTATAAAATCAAAAAACAACAAAATAAGCAATATCTCTACACTATTTTAGAGCAAGGGCAAAATTAAAACCAGCTCGCAAAGGAGTATACCTCGGCGGCTCATCATTCTTATCACATTTCCCCTCAGACCCTCCTCATCTAAGTCAGTCAGTTCTTCGAGCTAGCAATCAAGCCCGTATCCCTGTTTTTTTGGCTTTGAATCTCAATCTACAGCAAGGCGAGCAACACGTGAGAATGCTCCAAAGACTTTCCATTTTCTCTTCTCCGATCATGATTCGACCAGGGTGAAGTGCGTTCATCATGCTTATAGCTAGAATTGCTGGAGTGACTTCAAAGATGTAGAAATAATATTCATGGGTGGACAGTGCACTGGATGTCTTATGTCTAGTAGAGAATCGAGCGAGAGAGAAGAATATCTGGATCTGTGGGGTTTGTGTTAGTACAACTATCTAGATGATATCATTTTATATTAAGGATAGAAAATTTACCAGGATAAAACACAACCCTCCAAATAATGCTCCCAGTAAGCTCTTCCACCCTGCTCCCATGACGCTCCTTTGTCCCAGCACACCCATCTCTCTCCAAAATGCCACAAGCAAGCCCAAGAACACAAAGGTAACTGGCATCTGCACGATCAAGCCTCCAATGTAAACATGATTGGCATTCCTCTGTTCTCGTTCAAAATCCCTCTTCTCCATCATTGATGTACCCACAATTTCTAGCACAAAGGCCGCTGCATTGAATATTAAGAATGGGAGCGCGAGGAGATGAGGACGAATACCGAGAAGAGAACGACTTGGGAGGTAATGATGTACGAGGTGACCCAGGAGAATGAAGTAATAGGCACTGATCAAGGGCGAGATAGTCAAGGCAAAGATGGACGACGTGAGTTCAAGGACGTTATCTTGTTGGTTGTAGGTTGATAAAATACGGATTATGAAGGCCGTGAGACCCCAGATGGATGCTGAAATTATGAAGAAACTATATACCTGCGTAATGTGTCAATTTTGGTGTTAAAGTCTGGGGTAAAGTGAAAGAATAAATACCTTTTTGTAAAAGAATGCTTGTATGATGTGAGCTAGAGTAAGGATTCCGAAAATGGCAGCTGCAGCTACAGCTGATGCAGAACTAGGATAGTAGTCATAAAGAGCGTTGCATGTACCCGGAGGCAGATATCCATTCTTGTCCGGCGTAAGTGTTTGTATGCAGGTAGGAACTGCAAAAGAGACTGTTTTGGCTGGGTTAGTCACATGTGCATTTGTTACCCCGGCAATGGTAATGTAATTTGTTGTTAGGAAATAAAGTGGACTTGTGGATGAAGGTGAAGCAGTGGTAGTCGCGTCGCGCCGCAAAATAGTTGGAGCTGCAATGGGGCTTGAATGCGTAGTTGTGGTACTCAGAGCGAGAGCATTGGTACCGATAAAGACTGTCGATGCTAAGACTATGAGACTAGAAAAAAGCATCATCGTTTTTTGGGCAACAAAGAATCTGATGATAATAATCAACACTGATAAGTGAACATGAGGAGAGTCAATACAAAATATTTCAGGGTATTGCAGAGAAACAAATATGACCGCTTCTAACTAGGAATTTAAAATCTTTGAGAAATCTAGGTTCATATATGAAGAAGGAAACAGCAATGATGTGAGAAGTGTAGCTGACTAATGAGGCATTAATCTCTCATTGGTCGGGGCGTAAAAAAGATTAAATGTCATATGACATCTGTGTACGAATAGACCAATTGTGCACCCGAACAATGTGGAGAAGTAAAGGAGGTCTCGCTTACCTACTTTACCGCTTCAAAAATGGGGTCAGATGGAACGGCAACTTTGTCGCAATCCCGAAGATCATCGGCTACTCGTAGTCTATTTGAAGTTATCCCCTACCATTCCATAAATAACGCAAGGAGAAGGATGTGCCGGACCTGGGGAAATATGGGTCTACGAGGCTGGCGCATTGGGCCGGGGCTATTGAGAAGCCACTGCATCAGTGCTTCGCGATTGTGTTTCGAATTCACGTGAGTGTTGTATAAAAATGCGAAATAATAATTGCCTCGATTATCCGTGATCCATATCCTGGGTATTCATATCTCGGAAACACCCCTTGTATCCAACGCCTTTTGAATGCAGACCTTTAACTATCCCAAATATACACCAGGCGCAATGTTAACCACGTCAGTTCTTTACCTTTTTTCTAATCATACCAGCTCCAAGCACATTAACTTGTGGGATCGTTACCGCGGCAGGAGTGGGCTCATGAGGCTCATCTGTGCTGGATTTCCTTTTCTTTCGCACAAGTCCTACATTAAGAGTTGTAACGCCTGCGGCACTCGACTTATTTGTGATCTCTGTTACTTTGGTTCCTGTAACTAATTGGCCCCATGTGTCGCCCATGCTTCCAGCACCTGAACGAACTTCATTGATCCATCTTTTCGAACTCGAACTTGCTAGGTCTAGATCGGCAAAGTCTAGTCGAAGAAGCAATTCATTGATTCGATGATAATCCGTTTCGTCAACGATAATTTGACCACGACCTTCTGGTTTCCAAGTATAGTATGCAGTGCTCTCGGGTCTTTCTAACAAGTAATTTTTATTCTCAGTCTTAATGCGTGGCTGTCTAGGAATGATACGCCCAGACAATTTTTTCTTCTTCCGTTGGGCGGAAGTCTTTGACAATTGACTAGGTTCCTTAATGACTGAAAGAATATCACTTCGCTTCGGAGGTGACTGCTGAGCTGGATTCGAGCTAGGAAAGGATGTCGTTGGAGTGGAAATGGCTGGTGTAGCGTCTGGTATGGATGAAAATGATGAGTTGAGCTCTTGACTATCGTCAGCTAATGTTGAAGTTTGGCTGCTGCCAATTACAAGATCTCCGTGATTATGTCGAGATGTTGGTGTAAAAACAATCCATATAAATCCAACAAGTCGACCGGCTGAACACTCTTGTCTATATGCCATCATTTCCCAAAATTGGTCAATATTTCTCACACTCTTCCATTGCCCATTCGAATCATCCTTTCCTCTTCCTATTTCATCATCTAATTCGTCTAGAAATCTTGCTTTTGGATCGTCAGGATAATGTGGGACTAGACATCGTGGAGGAACATCATCTGCATGTCTTGAAATTTGTCGAAGTGGGTGCCCAATGGTCCAGGAGCTCTGCGTAGTCTGTGCCTTTGCTCTTGCTGGAAGATATGACCTGGTCTCGTAATTGTCCTGCCCAGGCACAATTAAAAAGCCCTTCACTGAGTCCCATTGTGATTTTCGCAAATTATTCGAGGTTTCCGTCTGCTCTATCAGGGGATCAAGAACTCGACACCACCAGCGCACCAAGCCTCTATCGTCCAACACATGCTTTCCACTATATTCAATGCTCCCTGGGAAAAGATATTGATCTTGAGCTCGTGCGAAAAGCGAGACAATACTTCGAATATTTTCCCTTTGATGTTGTTCGACCAAATGTTGTAAGAATGTAGCACTGATATCCCTTATGGGAGAAGGCGTTCCTTTGGGTAGATTTAGAAGGTGAAGATAACCGGTCGAATCGGCCTTTGAAACAAAAAATGTAGTATCATATGCGGTGGAATAAATCAGGATTTCGATTGCAAAAACTAATACTTCAAGTAGTTCAGATGCATCTTGTTTTGAAGGAGTTCGAATTGAAACTGTAAGAAAATGGCTCTCGCGATAAGTCCTATCGGGTCGACTATTCGGCGGCGCAGAATATAATGATGAGGTTTTGGTTGGAGGGGTAGATAGATGGTAGATCTTAAAAGTGACGTCTTTAGGAAGGACAGAAGCAAGTCGTTGTGTGAGGACGGAAGATATATCTGATTCTTTCGAACCGGCAATCCCTTGAGTAGCCATAGCAAAATAATATTGTAAATTATTTCATGAATTTCATGATCATAAATTAAGAGTCCAATAGCTTAAATACCTCGAGTACTTAGTGGAATTTTAAATGATGTCGTTCTTGGTGAGACGCGTCGGCGAGTCGGCACAATGATGGACGCGAAACTCGGTCTATACCAAAAGAAGTTTAGCGTCTACATAAAGTTTCCAGAAATCTTGAGCTTTCAACTTCGAGGAATTATTTTACTAGAGGAGGGGGTATTTGCACGACGATTAACCACGAATTATACATAGCAATGGCATCCAAAACTACCACCCGATCGCTTCGGTCCCTTACCCGTCAAGCAGGTCAAAGATGCTCATGCGCCACTCCCATATCCTCCCGCTCAAATACCGCCCGACAATTTTCAATATCAACCTCGAGATCAGATACCCAATATAATGAAGAACGAGGTGCAAGACCAAGATGGTCATACACACCACCACAGATGAAATTACCATTCAACCCGAGGGCAAACCACGATATACCCACATGGGAAGTCAACAGCGATCCGGAAAGATTAAATCGATTTTATATCAAATTTCTAGGACGGGGAGGCGACGAAGTACTTACAGACGAAGTAAAATGGCTTGCGATTACACATAAGAGTTTTGATCAAGGAAGGAGAGGGTTCAATGATCGATTGGCATATTTCGGTGCGTATCCTGATTTGCGTTGCGAATGGCTGAACGTATACTGAGTCTATAATGTGCAGGACGTAGGATATTGAACTTACAGACAAGTTTGGTTTTACTACAATCGCCGGTTGCGACAAAAACTCAATTACCTCAGGAAACAGACGGCCAGGGGACAGAAGTTGAGGAGCCATTTTCACACCCTGCTCTGGACGGTTTGCCAAACTTGACCAACGTCAAGGTGGATGATATTTTAAGCAAGGAGAGATTGGCGAATCTGGCTACCCAGATGGGCATGCCAGATATCATTCGATGGGAACCTAGAATGGTAAGTTGGAGTGTTCTTTCACGAGGCATATTCCATATGGCTACTAATTCTCTTTACAGAAGGACAATCTCGAGAAGTCTGGTCTTGAGCTCGTACTAGCCACTTCATTGTATGCTATTATTGGAGCAATCGCATTGCAAAAGGGTGGTGATGTTGCAACAAGAGTCGCACGGGAGAGAATATTGAAGCCTCTTGGTATATCATAGATGTGTATACCACATGTGTGAATGATACGGATGTAGAATACATATTGTAAAATACTTACTAAAAACTCGCAAGTTGTGAGTAGCATATCATTAACAGTGCATCTGTGGGAGCAGGGGCACATAACAGTTGGTGTACAAATTTATTAAATACTTCCTCGACCTCCAAATCCTTAACCAATTCAATCTTCACATCATCGATCTCCAATTATACGATTTTGATGTCAGATTTGTAATAAATCCTTGCATCAAGTTGTAAAATGCAGACTTTGAGATATATTGTCAAGTCGATCAACTTCGTGTCATTTCACAGTTGGCGCATTTGCATTGGGACATAACATTACAAGCAATCTCAGTAGAACGACGTTAATCTATACAACATATCCATCTGTTCAAGCCACCTCCTTTTGCAATTACTTCCCAAAGACAATCCTAGTAGAAAGCAATCTTTGATTACAGCTTCCCACCACTCTCCTACTACCCATTCCAGGAATTTTCACCCTCTTCCCACCAAACAAAACTCAAATCCCCCTCACTCCCCAACCTCACCTACCATCTTCCCAATCCTCATCACACTAATCAACCCATCACCCAACTATCCATCATTCACATAGAATCCCAAACACCACCCTCCCCAATATCTGAACACAGAAATGTCCGTGGCGCAATGGTATTGAATATGATTGAATATGGTCAACCTTGTGATTCAGTACAATGATCCATATCCTACTTTGTGTGTTGATGTTGGGAGATGAGGAGACCTGTGGCTTATTAGTCTTTTGATGGCTTTGTTTTTTTTTTCTTATTGGGAGGGTGAAGGAAAGAGCGTTGTGAGAGAGGGGATTCATGGCTTTTGTGGATGTGGGTGGAGATGGTGAGATAGGATGGAAGTATATTGGATGAGAGTATGTTCTCGGAAGTGGATAGATAATGAGTGAATAATAAATGGAAGAATGGATTAACGAAATGAAAATGAATGGGTAGTTCATGGGTTATGACAGGAGGAGACCAGTTGCAACTCACACAAAAATCATAGTGTAACGATGTCATCGTCGTACCTGTAATTTGACAAGAGCGACATTCTACTGTTGAGGAAACAGTTCGAAACCTCTGGGGGGATAAATTATATGCGAGCCCGCCTTACAACTATCTGAACTAGACTTATCTGGCCTTCAAACAGAAACTCATCATATCAAGCTTTCAAAAGCCCCATTTCATATCTCATGCATCAACAATCCAAGCAGCAATCACTCGAACACTTGTAATTCAAACACTCCAAACAACCCCCGGTTTCAAGTAGAAATAAAAGATATACACACATAGCACCTACACATTCTCAACCAAGCAGAAAGAACTTACAGCTACCCATCAACTTAGCCATCAACTCCCAACACACCCATTCGTATACTATCTAGACAGCCAATTCAAACACAGGACAGCCATCCTAAAGTTCCTCTGAATCCTACTCCTATTATCCAAGTTCCACAGCAAGAATATCATAACACATCTGCTAAACATCTGATGCAGAAAAGACTTCACAAACGAACTAGCTTTTCCCATGAATAACTCGGCTCCCATTTCAAAGCAGAAGAGATGTATAGGATTCCACGCCCCAGAATTCTCACCTACTGATCATTCATTCACCCTTCATATCCACTCACCCAGCCAAGTATCAATCCCCCACCCTCACCCCCTCCATCAACATCCCCATAATCTACCTACCATCATAGATACTACAACAAGCAACCCTACCACCTCTCCGACCAAACATCCAATCCAATCCAATCCAATCCCAACACCACCCACCACTCTGCATCCATATAACCACGAAACCAGAACCTCCTTCCGAGTCCCGACCAGCAAGAACCCAAGAATAAGGCATTCAGTAGACCTCCACCCATCGATTCCCAAGCAAGCCCAAACCAATCACCTTCAAACCCTTTCCAACCTTTCCAGCCCCTCCTCATCCTCATCCCCTGCTCCATCCATCCATCCATCCATCCATCCATCCCTCTCACTATTCCTCTTCTCCTCCTGACACACAAGTACATACATACATACATACACATACACATACACATACATACACATAACCTCCTCACATCCTCACACCCCCACATCCTCACACCTTCTCATCCTTCGATCTCCACATCTCTACCCCGCCCCCTTACCCCGCCCTGCTTCCCCTCCCCCTCCTCCCATCACCAAGCGAATCAATACCCCTCCTCTCCACTCCCCTCCCCGGCACAACGCATTGATAATCTCGCTTCCATACCCCACACCCCAACCTCCAACCCCTCTATCCGCTTCCCTTCAAACTCAATTTATATTCTACAATTTCTTGCATGCAAAAAAAGCTTCCACCTACTTTTACACTGCACTGCGCCGTCTTTCGAACATCACATTAGGATAATCACAAACGAACAGACCGAATGGAAATGTTACTTATAAGGTCAACTTATTTTTTTGGTTCTTCCAATAGTAGTAGCAATTGCAATATCAAATAGCTTTCCATCTACTAAAACCCCTCCCAAACTTCCTAACACAAACACTGATAGAAACAACACGACAAGAAGCCAATATATGCAAATATAACCACGCAACCAAGTAACCCTGCAACCATTCCATCCACCCATTGATCCATCCATATACAACCAAACAAGCCTACAGACAAGTAATTAACTCCTCCAAGTACAATCCCAAAGTGCCCTCGCAAAAAAATCATACACATAAACTCATGAACCCATACACAATCCCTTTTGAAACGAGTCACTTATTCATTTTCATCCTTCGCACTTCCACTTTCCCAAACAACGAAATCCGATTCCGGTTTCTCCATCGGTTCTACCACTTTCTTTTGCATGAGAAACTCAATATCGATTTCTTTTCCCTTTCCTTTCCCTTTTCCAGGCGCGTAAGCCGTAGATACTGGCTCTGGTAATGGAGATGTGGTTTGAGGTTCTGGGATTTGTTCTTCTTGTTCCAAGGGAGCCTCCGTCTCTTTCTCAGCTTCTTCTTCTTCTTCTTCTTCTTCTTCGACCGATACCTCAGGTTCAGGATCCGGAAGAATGATAAAAACACTCTTCTCATCACAACCTTCTGCATAGAAATCTTCTTTCCTCATCTCCCCTAATGGAGCTCTATCAACATCGATAGCACCCTCTTCCATCTCTCTTCGCTTCTTTTGTTGCATCTTAATCCTCATTTTCATTTCTCTAATATCCATATCATCTTTACGAGACATAGACATGGAAGAACTCGAAGCGAAAGCAGTAAGCGAAGTACGTGTTTGAGAAATATCATCTAGAGGTGGAACATTCTCTTTGCCTCTCTCGTCTCTCAATCTGGTAAGTGTTTCTTCGTCGGAGGAAATGTCGAGAATACCAGTACTATGTTCCATAAGATTGGTCGCGTGTTCCTCTTCTGTGTCTTCGTGAATTTGGAAGAACCAGGACGATTTGCCTTCAGGTGCACGAATGGAGGACGGGATTTCTTTTTGAGAGGTTTGAGCCTTTGTGCCTTTGGAAGAGAGAGCTTGACGTTGGCGTGCGCCATATGATGGAATGGTTCCTGAAAGAGCGGCATCGATTGAGAAGCTGAGACCGCTAGGCTTTGAGGTGGAGAATTTAGGAGGATCAACGCGGGTTATTGAACCAGAAGCACGACGGTGATTGTTAAGGATTCCGACGCGCTTTCTAGTAGGCGAACGACCTGCTGGGGCGGTAAGAGGTGTAGACTTTGGGGCTGTGGTGGTGGCTTTTGGTGTTTGAGTACGAGTTTGTAGAATCTTTCGCTGAGTGGTAGATTTG